GCTGCCAATTGTGGATATTAAATTGTGAAATTTTTTAACAGGTTGAAAATTTGGGAAATGATCAATTTACAAGAGAGAGTCTGCTGAAATTTCGGTAGAAAGTCTGGTGCCCTTATTCCTTTTTGGGAAAGGAGGCTATAGTTTTAGTGAGTGGTCTTGGCACCGGTGTGATGTCGGATTTTTCCCACAGGATTCGTCCCGAGTTCCGAGGAATTCAGGGTGAGTCCTGTCACCTGGCCTATATATATAAAGCTTTAACCTAAACCTAGGGGCCATATACCATATACTTTCTCACCATATTTCAATACACCCACAAATATATTAGAGAGGTAGCCAAGAGTTTGCGGATGCGGTGCTTTTAGAGCTTACAAAGGTGTTGCTGTGGAGAATCCAGAGATCAAGTCCATCAGCCAAATCGGTTTTATGACAACAATTATTTTGTTTATCTTCTCTTTTGTCATGAACCTATTTTCCTTGCTAGGGCTACGATGTAGCCTAACCATGAATACTTAATTTATATAGTTAGAGTAATTTTTTATTACTATTCCATGTTGAGTATTTGTTACTGTTATTAATGCTTTAAATATTTTGCTAATATTTAATTGATGATCCAAGTGGAGATCGAGAGGAGATGCTTGGTGTTTGCTTCTCGTAACAAATATCATGTCTTGAATGAGTACCCAAGAGGAACCAACATGATTCATGCAGTTTTTTTGCAGGTTCTCATAGAACTTAATGGGTTCTTGATTTTCTAAATTCGTAGCTCGAGAGAGAATGAGTTGTTGATTAAGAATACTTTTGGTTCAGCTCGAGAAGGGATATCGAATGAATTAGAAGAAACCAACTGTCAACATAGGTAGTAATTAGGGTAAATTGGCTATATGAATTAAGTGAAATTGGTTATGGTGAAATCGGATGCTTTAGTGCCACGTCACCTTGGTTTTTCTAAACAGTTATTTAAATTGTTACTTTTCATATTTGTTTTAGTTTAGTTTAAAATCAATTATTCAAATAAACTTTTCAATTAATCATAATTGGTAATTGGAATGAAATTACAGTCTTCATGGAGATGACGCTTCACTTATCTCTATATTACTTGTGTAGATTGTGCGCTTGCAATAATTTCACAACAGAAACGAACCAAAAGGGAAGAATCTTCAATCACAAACATTCATCTCTAAGATACACGATTGAAAGAACATTTGGTGTTTGGAAAAACTAATGGAGAATGGTACGTCAAATTTATAATTTTCCTTTGGAAAAAAAGTACAAGTCGTTGTCACTTCAATGTCTCTCTATAACTTCATAAGATTCAATGACGGATGTAGAGTTCCAACCATATGATGATGATGAAGAGCTACTTCCCCCAACAAATGAGGGAGGGACTAGTATGGAAGAGATTATTGTAGAAGAAAATGTAACTCGTGCACGAGAGATGGATGACGAATGCAAGAGAATCGTAAATCTTCTTATGTCTACTTGATATTTGTTTTTTTTAAAAGAAAATTTTGGTATTATTTGAAGCTATATATTTTCAATTTTCAGTTAAGAATGCCCAAGATTTAATATTATGGATTGGTTATCAATTTTAAAACGTTTGATTTTGAAAAACTGGAAAAAAAAAATACAACAAAAAAAAAATCACTTTTTTCTTTAGGAAGCCAAACGCTACAAATACCATCAAAATCACTTTTTAACAATATAAAAGCACTTCTATGTGGGTAGCCAAACAATAAACTAATCTTGTGTAAAAGCACTACTAACATAAAGTGATTATGCTAAAATACTAAGGACTCATTTAAAAGTGATTATGAGAGTGCCAAAATCACTTCCTGTTGGGTATAATCAGTTTTCCTTAAAAAATAGGGTGTTTGGCAAAAATTTAAAAGCGGTTAAAATAGGTATTAGAATCACTTAAAGTGATTTTAGGGAGAAGCACATGAGAGGTATTTCTCCTTGGAAGTGTTTTTTTTTCTTCAAAAAACCAGGAATCACTTGATTTCTTTTAATGAAACTTTTGCAATATATTATCATTATTATTTGTACAATATGGCCAAAAAGCCTAACCCTACAATTTTTAAGCAATCCAGACATTTCATCCACCCTAGTTATCACGTCTCTGCCTCTACCTCTACTCTTTCTCTGTAGAGGCTTCTTGTTCCCCCATCTCTCACTACAATCTCTGCAAGTAAGGCTATCATTCTTCAAGGTAATCCTCTCTACTCTCACTGTTTTTATTTATGTACTTCTATATTTATCTTGGTAATTTTTTATTTTAGCTTTTCTTTTTGATCATATAGTACTATGAAATTCTCATGCTTCTTGATTCATATATTATATCACTACTAGTTATTAGTAAAAATATTATCAAAATCAGAAATTGAATTTGAGAGAGAGAGAGAGAGAGAGAGAGAGAGAGAGAGATAAGGGTCAAAGCTAGCGTAGCAATTGGCTATAATATGCCGATGATATTATAAACACTTTCTTTTGCAATAATAGAAGGATATAGAAAAGGTTGTTTCCTATTGCAATCTGTTTAGATGTGTTAGTTTGCAATTTTGGATTATATAAATGTGTTTTGAGCGTTCTCCCCATATCAAACATAAGAATATGACATAGATGAACGTGTAAAGCAATCTTCATTCCACATTGACGTAAATGCCATGTGGCTGCCTAATAGAAATTGAGAGAGAGAGAGAGAGAGAGAGAGAGAGAGAGAGACGTATAGACACATAGATATTAAGAAAGAACTGTATGATTTTAATGATGATTTGAATAACACAAAACCTATACATGCATAGAGACACACAGACACTTACCAGAAATGTTGGTTTTTGTAATAATGCTCCGTTTCAATTTGTTGTTATGTCTGAGCACTTTTTCTGATGCAAACGTTTTCATGCAATATGAAAGTGCACCCCCATTTCATCTTTGATATTAGCTTCTTTTATTTATTTATTTTTTTTTTTTGGGCTAACGACAAAAGACACCCTGCTGGTTTAGGTTCATTCTCGAATTGGACCCCATAGTATCAATTTTATCAATTTACACCCTGATGTTTTGAAGATCGTCTAATTTCATCCTTCCGTTAAGTTGACCATACGGTCAATCGTTAACTGCTGACGTGGCACTTATGGGACCCACCCCACCAGCGCTTTGACCATTCCGCTCATGCCATCTGAAGGGCAGTTTTGGGTTTCTACAATTAAAAAAAAACTGAACATCATGCCCAAAATTAGGCACGATTTTCAAGTAGACGACCAAAGAAAAAGCCCCAAACCGTCGTTCATCCTCAACCTCAGTTTAACCTAAATCCTAAATCTCCATAGCTGACAGCAAGTTCTACGATTTCGAAGAAGTGAGAAGAAATGAGTTCGGATTTCAAGGCTCCAGGCGCTCCGCATCCATCATATGGTAAGTTGGTTTAAATTTTTGCGATTTGGGATATCTGTGTTGAATGGGTTAGAGGTCGTATGAGTTATTCTGGGTTGAATGTTGTGTTTTATAGGGTTTAGTGGAATAGTGGGAGAAGTATGAAAGATTTTGTCGAATATAGGTGGCCTTCTTGCAGATTTCGAATATAGGTGGTCCTTCAAGCTAAGCATGTGCTGGCAATGTTTGCCTTTAATACTCTAAGCGTCTGCTATTAATAATGCAAAAATGTTAGGTGGAAGGGTGTGAAAAGGGTTGTTTAATAAAAATTTGGCTTTTGTATAATGGTCCTAAACTGAAAATAATTGAAAAGTCAGTTATAGTTTTTGTATAATGTTTGAATACTGTGTTTTGTGTTGTGTTTTATATTTGAACTGAAAATAACCCATGTTTGGGACATGTAATATGTAGGTGATCCTGAATTGTTTTCTATTCGAATGTACCATGGTGGTAAAATCTGTGGTAACTGCTATGCTTCTGGCAGTGTAGCTTGGTTTGATTATTGTGACAAGGATAAAATGTCAATGACTGAGATAGACAATATGGTGAGGGAGTAAGGGTATGATGGGTGATTAGTTACTGCTATAGTATCCCTATCTATAGCAATGGTGGCCTAACAAAGCTTAATGATGATCAAGATGTCATAGACATGCTTGTATTTGTACCAGAGACAAGGCTGATAGACATCTTCCTACATCATGGGGTTGATAGTAATGAGGGTTGGTTTTGTAGTCAATCAAGATCAAATTTTTTTGTTGATGTAGAAGCTGATATTGTGCCTAACAGAGGAGTTGTGATTGAGGAGCTTGATGACAAATATGGGGCCATTGTTCCTGTTGGTGGGAAATGCAAACAATGGAGGCAACAAAAAAAAAACAAGTGTGGTGATAGAAGAGTTCAATGAAGATCCAAATGGGGAACAAAGTGGTGGGGTTACACAAAAGCTAAGGGAATCTTCTACAAGACAGGGTGTTTCTGAAAAAGTCAAAGAAAAGGCAGTAGAGAGGGAATCTTCTGCTGTGCAAAAAGACAAAGAAAGAGCTGTTGAGAGGGAATCTTCTACCACTGTAGAGAAAGGGAAAAGTAAAGTCAGTTCTGTTTTTGGGAAAAGGAGGGCAAGAGCTTTTGATAAAAGGAGGTGCAAAAATGCAAAAAAGACAGGTGATAAAGACCAAAGGTCCAATATAGTGATTGAGGGACTAGTTCAGAAAGAGGTTGTTGAAGGAAGTGTTGAAAAGAGCAAGTTATCAAGATGTCATCCAATGAAGACAAGAAAAGCAAGAACAAGGACCACAGTCAGTCATGACGAGGAGGAGTCAGCAGACAGTCTTGACTCTGATTTTGTAGACCCTAACTTCAGTTGTGATGATAATGATGATGATGTTGATTTTGATGAATGGGTGGACAAATAAAGTGAGTGGGTTGGAGATAGGGCAAAAGGAAAAGAGCCAGAGTCAACAAATGCTGGGGTTGAATCTTGGGATTGGGGTGCAGATGTTGAACTGGAATCAGAGGAGTATGATTATGATAATGTGCAGCCTAAATATGACTCTGATGATGACACTCCAATGACGGATATATGGCCAGAGTTCAATCAGGCAACTGACATGGCAGATCCAAAGTTTGAGGTTGGGATGAAGTTCAGTGATTGTAAAGTTTTTAGAGTGGTTGTGAGAGAACAATTTGTAAAGAGGAATAGGGATGTTGTATTTGTGAGAAGTGAGACTTTCAAGCTAAAGGCAGTTTGTGCAGATCCAGATTGCCCATGGGAGATATATGCTTCCAAAATGCAACATGAGAAGACCCTGCAGGTTAAGAAATATGAGGGTGAACACACTTGTGGTATTGTTTGGGAGAACCCCACTGTGAAGTGTAGTTGGCTCAGTGCCAAATATATGGAAACATTGAAGAGCAATCCAAGTTGGCAAGTTAGCTCATTCATGGAGACTGTGAAGAAGGATTATAACAGTGGAGTTTCTAGGCAACAAGTTTATAGGGCAAAAGAGAGGGCATTGTGGCAAATTGAGGGAATATACACAGAACAATACTCCAGAATTTGGGATTATTGTGAAGAGTTAAGGAAGACCAATCCAGGAACAACAACCAAAGTTCAATGTGATTTCAATCAACCATTGGGTCATCTAGTGTTTCAAAGGTTATATGTGTCCCTAGGTGCATGTAAAGCAGGGTTCATTACTGGATGCAGACCCATTATTGGATTGGATGGCTGCTCCTTGTAGGGTGTATATGGAGGGAAATTTTTAGCAGCAGTTGTTATAGATGCTAATAATGAAACATGGGAGATTGCGTATGCAGTGGTTGAGTCTGAGTGCAAGGACTCATGGGTTTGGTTTTTGGAATCGTTGGTACAGGATGTAGAGATTGTTAACCAGTTTGGATACACTTTCGTATTAGACAAGCAGAAAGGATTATTACCAACTTTTGAGCAAGTTGTTCCTAATAGTGAACACAGGTTTTGTGCAAGACATCTGTTCACCAACTTCATATTACAATTCAAAGGGAAAGCTTTGTCTGACAAATTCTGGGGTGCTGCAAAAGCAACAACTGTTTCACAGTTTGCAAGACAGATGGAAGAGTTGAAAAACCTTGATATGGATGCTTATGCTTAGCTGACTGAACCAGGAAAACCTCTCTGGCATTGGTCTCGATCACACTTCAGCACTTATGTGAAGTGTGATATGCTTTCAAACAATATGTGTGAGTCCTTCAACTCATTCATATTGCATGTAGAGATAAGCCAATACTGACCATGTTTGAGATAGTTAGGTGTAAGTTGATGAGGAGGATACAAGGCATAATGGACAAAATGAAGAATTGACTCAAGTAATTTGCCCCAAGATTTTTAAGAAAGTAGAGATTAATAAAGCAAAAGCAGGTGGTTGTGTGACTATGTGGTCAGGTGGAGGAAAATTTCAAGTTGGCAGTGGTGGGATTTCACAGTATATTGTGGACTTGGATTTGAGGACCAGTTCTTGCAGAGAATGGGATTTGACTGGTTGGCCTTGTGTTCATGGAGTGGAAGCTATAAATTACAATGAGGGTCTGAACGTAATAGATTATGTGGATGCATGTTATCACACTCAAACATATTTCAAGGCATATGAAAACCTCATACTACCTATTAATGGGATGGAGTTGTGGGATAGAACTAATATGCCACCATGTGTGCCTCCTTCATACTCCAAACAACCTGGAAGGCCAAGAAAGGCTAGAAGGAAGGAAGCAGGTGAATGCAGCAACAAGACCAATGTTGTTACAAAAGTTCAAGACTCACTGAGGTGTGGCCAATGTGGAAGAAAGGGACATAATAAAAGGACTTGTCATAGGAATCTCCCCCTAAAAACAAAAATAAAAAAAAGAGGAAGGATGAGGTAAACATCTAAGGATGAACATTTGTTAATGTTATAAATTTTAATGTTTTTGGAATATGATGCAACTAACAGTTTATTATTTGTTGCCTCATCCCAACAAACTACTCAAACAAGTGAAGCTGGTTCTAGTACAAAAACAAGGCGAGCTAAGCCTACAAGATCTATACTGAAAGGAAAATGGAAGAGAAAGGCCACCATTGCAGCTGGAAGTTCAAATGCCCCACCAACTTATTCAACTGCTCCATCCTTAACACCTGCAAGTGGATCTGCCGCTCTTGCAACTGGATCTGCCCCTCCTGCATCAACTGAAGCTTCAACTGACAATTCTTATTTATTGAGGAAATGACCTATGGTTGTGGGAGCATCAGACTTGAGCAAGGAATGATGACGGTCTTGCACACTTATCTATGCTGTATTAGCTGGTTTGGTTATTTTGAGCATGAGACAATTGTACCTTTATTAGCTGGTTGGATTAGGTTATTATGTTATTTTGGAAGACAAGTTGCCTTGTGTTAGGAAGATAGCTTGTGATATTTTGTAAGACAGGTTTTGTTTTTTTGGAAAACAGGTACTGTGTTTTTGGAAAACATGTATTGTTGTTTTGGAAAATAGGTTCTATCTTTTTTTTTTTTTTTTTTTTTGGAATAGAGATTGTGTTATTTTGGAAGGTTGTAAATAGGGGTGGGCACAGTCCGGTTAGGTCCGGTGCAGAGCTCGAACCAGAACCGAAACCGACACTGTTCATTCGGTCCGGTCAGATTCAGTTTTTAGTAAAAACAGTGGAAAAACTGGACCAAACCGAACTGGTTGGCCCGGTCCGATTTTTCGGTTTGGGCCGGGTTTTTTTTTTTGGTAAAAAATCTGTTTGTGTTGTACTCCAGTAGCATATAAGATAAAGCCCTGTTTCAGATTCCTGTAAAAATTTGGCTTCAACTTAAATAATTTCTACATGCCAAACATATGCATTTTAACTTCCAAATACAAAATGTGGCCATCCAATCCAAACATACAAAACATGGCCATCCAATCCAAACATACAAAACATGGTTATCCAATCCAAACATACAATCTTAAAAATTATACAACCCAATGTAAAAATCGATAATTAAATTACAAACCAAATTAGAAGTTCGAAATATAAGCCAAAAATTAAAATATAACACCAATGAAGGCTTCACATATTAAATGATCACCGGAACGTAGAAGGACTTGAGTTGGTAGGTGCCTGTAAAATTGTAAGATCTACAAATAAAAACATTAACACATTAAAACATTAGGCAAACATGCAAACTATATATATAGTTATAATAGGGCAATGATTTCCCCACTCCTATTTTATCCACTTACACTCCTTTTTTAGTTATAAAAAAGGAGTGTAAGTGGATAAAATAGAAGAAAAAGGAGTAGGGAAATCACCACTCTTATAATATACATCATTAAATCACATAAAACTAAAAACAAATGCCTGACTCAATGGATTCATAAAACTCCATTTCTTGAATGGTTGGCTCATATTGTATAACGGAGATGTCATCGGACCTTAACCAATTTTGAGCACAAATTAAGGCCTCCACAATCTTAGGAGTTAAAGAAGCACGGAATGAATTAATCACCCGACCACTCGTGTTAAAGCATGATTTCAAAGCCAATGTTGATACGGGAATACCAAGCACATCCTTTGTAATAAGTGACAAACTTGGATATTTAACCCCATTAAATTTCCACCATTTCAAAATAT